ATTAAGACAAAAAAAAACAATTATACATCTTTAGATTTATATCTTTCCCATTGAAACAAAAACCACATTTACAACCTCTGGAGGTGTAAAGAGAATGTAAAAATAGCTTTACATCCCCAAAAATACACCACACCCCGTGTTTTTTGATGCAAATTGTGTCACTGTGGATGCTCCAAGTGTTTCATGTTAATGTGTCCTCATGTTCGGACCACGTCGCATTGGTTAGGGCTTGTAACACAATGGCTTCGGGTTATGTTAAATAACATTTGATGAAGCAATAGGGTGGGTAAGCTTGAGCGCCCGAGATTAGTAAATTGTGTGAGTTTAAAGTGATCTCTATATATTGCCGAATTAAAGTCTTGATTGGCATTGCACAGATATCAGTGCATGCATAGGAAATTCTTGAGGTTACATGTTGTGTTTGACATGCCTCCGTGTGCCGGGGCTAAGCTTCTCTTGCAGCAAAGTGATGCAATCGGACTTGAATATGTTTGGACCTTCCCTATATTTTTTGGACCTAAACAAATCTCAACATTGACCTTGTAAAATGGTATAGATTTAATACAATTTGTATCCTATTCCTCTTATAACTCATAACAATCTGCTACAACTTTGGAGCTTAATGAAATATCCAAGGATTTTAGCAAGTTCCAACATTTTAGGTTTGGGATCTCTCTCCACTCTTTGATGGGCTTTCTATTTTTGTTAGTTTTGAACTTCTGTTTTGGTTTTCATCTTTGAAGTAACGCAATTATTATGCTGTTAGGCTTTTCCTTTTGTAACTAAATAAATGTTAGGTTTAATTTCAATTTACTACTTTGACCTTTTCACCAAATGGCATGTAACAAAAAAAAATTAGAGGAAGAAAAGGGTGATGAGAAACCCTAGGAAATGAGTTTGCCATGCATGAGGGTGTGAGATTCAGATCTGGTCGTAGGATCTTTTAGGAAATGTTTACTAATAAAGAATCGGGATAAGCATATGAATCAGAATAAAAAATAAACAGAAACATAGTTCCAATAATGGAAACCCATGGACCATATTCTTCTCCAATTTGAGTTTTGCTTACATCCCAAATGAATTCAACCACCCATTAGAGCCATTGTTAACCATTGGTCGTTAAGACATATTCTTGAAATATCGATATATAGGAATCGGTAAACATGAATCGGGTTAGTATTCCAATTAAACTGTTTACTGACTGTCAAGAATCAAATGAAAAATAAAACCGTTTCCCATAAAAACCGTTTACTATTTTGAAGAATCAGAATCAAAACCAATTTGATTACCAAAATACCCTTCTAGAAAACAAATTTTATTTTGTTCAACTACTTATACAAGTTTTCAAATGACCTAAAAAAGAAAACCAACTTTTGTTACGTAATAATAAACCAACTTTATATATATATATATATTGTGTTACAAATAGAATTTGATGTTTGTAAAAAAAAATTATAAAAATAAGTTAAAAATCCAACGCATTATTTATTGCATATAGCAACCCAAAAAAAAAAAAAAAAAAACATGAAATGTCATGTGACAAAATGGGCGCGGGGGTGAGTGAATATGTCAATTTAAAATTATACACTAAGAGAATAAATAGCAGTATTAATTAATTAATATGACCTGTGCATCAAAATAAAAATTAAGTGATCACACAAATTTTTAACGTAGTAAAACCCCCCCTCTAGGGAAACGTTCATGGACTCCTTAGTCCAAAAATATTCCAATATAGGATGAAGTGATTACAAGTACTCACACACTTATCTTAAATACATTCTAGAAAAAAAGGTTTACCGAAGCCAAAGCACACTGTTGGTATGAAGTTATGTTCGCATTCCGTAGACCTTAGTATAGGTTTGGAAGTATCATTTAGATGTAGGATTGAAGCAACATTGATGTCCCCGATTTCCAGAATTATCACTTAGCTCATGTCAGACATTCGATCCCAAGGTAAGTCATGCTATTATCATGCATCTATGTTAGGAAATCATTTTAAAGTCTAGTTCAATCTCGGTCTCTTGATTTTCTGTTTTTAAGTCAATATTGCAGTTTGCTTAGAATTTTTTTTAGGCAAGTTTGCTTGAAACCAACTTGATTACTTCTACTTTCACGTTGTTAACATCTCCTTGCTTTTCTATCAAGTTTTGGTTGCTTGAAAATCACAATTTTAATTTCATCACATCATCAAATGTGTTGAGATATTCTTGGTAATTAACCTAAGATTATCAGGACTCCTTTAATAGTTTCTTATCTCTAGAATACGGAAACTATTTTTAGGATTTCTTTCAAGCGTTGAAGCGTGGAAATTTTGTTTTAAACGTGGATTACTTTGTTGTGAAGAAAACTTGTATAAAACAAGGCTTTGGGTCTTTCCTTCTAGCTTTCAATATCATTGTTTCAGTCCTGAAGAAAACTTGTATAAAACAAGGCTTTGGGTCTTTCCTTCTCACTTTCAATATCATTGTTTCAGTCCTTAAACATTTAAGAGAACTATGCTTTTATTTGAGATAAATCATCAAGTGTTCCATATAAATATGGTGATTTGTCAACTAATTTATCATTTATTAGCATTCATTCCATTCTTCGGTCCCTCATAAAGTTGATGGTATCAATACAATGTTGGCGATTCTTTTTCTGATGAGTTTGAAGCAATTGGAAGAACTTGATTTTTCTTGATTACCTCAATTCAGTGCTCTCCACTCTTCAAATTAAAAGTACGACATATACACGATGATAAACATAGTTAACTGCGTAAACCCCCAAATTTTGGGGTCCATTCCAAATAGGTATCCAATCGTGTAAGACCTTAGAAATTCTTATACAAACTCACGGAACATGTAAGGTCATCCGTTAATTACATTCTTTGTCAGTCTGTATATTTGAACAGCAAAGGTGGGTCCTACTTTTTCCATGTAGATAAAAATATTTTAAAAGAAAATTAGAAATCAAATATGTAAAAGAATAAAATAACATAAAAATTAAACATCCCTTAACATGATTATTAAAGAGTCTAAGCCAAATATAAAGTTATTCTAAATAGGGTAATCTATTGAAATGCCCCCTGAACTTGTACATAACTCTCAACTTACCACCTGACTTTTTTTTTTAGCGAATTAAGGGCTCAAATTAAAATTTATTATCAATGTTCCCCCCACCGTCAAAATTCGAACATTTCATCCATTATTCCATCCATTTGACTCATTTTGACCCTTTTTTTAGGGTTATTTTCGTCATGTTCAGCCTATTAAACTCTTACCCAGTCAAACCTTCACACACTTCCCACATACATCGTGCTCCACCTCCATTTGTTCATGTTTCTGGCGATTTCCAGCTATCTATCTAGAGAAAGAGAGAGAGAGAGAGAGAGAGAGAGAGAGAGAGATGAGGACGAACTTACCCGGCAGCGTTGATGGGTCACACAGAGGGAGTTCGGAGTTCGGAGTTCGAAGACGGCAATTCATGGATGTTGCCATCACGGGTCTGCTACTGTGGGAAGGTTGCGAAAATTCAGACTTCTTGGACCTCTTCACATCCAGGACGAAGATTTTATGTTTGTGCGCGGGTAAGTTGAATTTTGAAGTTTGGGTTTCTAATTTGTAGTTTTGAGTTTCCAAGTTTTAAAACTGTCTTTGCAGAATCGTTGTCAAATGTGGGAGTGGGGTGACCCTGTTATGTGCAATAGATCTAAGCAAATAATTCCAGGACTGCTGAGGAGAATTAACAAGTTAGAAGCAGAAAAAAAGAAAGGGAATTCAAAGCTGAAAAACCCATGGTTTTGGGTGTCGTTGTGCATGTTTGGGGTTATTATATGCTTGATTTTGAATGAAGATAAAGGCACTAATGGGCAGCTGTAAAAAGGGATGGGTAGTTGGCATTTTGTAAGGGTTTGAAAGGGATGGGTGGTTGCCATTTTGTAAGGGTTAGAAAGGGATGAGTAATTGGCATTTTGAAACGGTTAGAAAGGGATGGGTAATTGACATTTTGTAATAGTTAGAAAGGGATAGGTGATTGGCTTGTTGTAAAGGTCAGAAAGGGTGTGTAATTGGCTTCATTTCGAGTGTTGTGACCAATGTAATCAATGTATGAGTTGTTTTGTTGAATGAAAATGCAAGCTCTCATTTTGACAATTGAAATAGTAACTGGCACACCAAAGATATGAACTGCACTGCAAATACCAAAATATACAACATTTGAATTCACATGTCATTACATTAATAGCACTTGAAAATACACAGACACATCCCCTAAACAGTCTTGTCCAAAATCCCTTAAACATACACATACACATACACATACACATACACATCCACAACATATAGCTTTGCCATCAAAGCTTGTCCAAATTCAGTTTCAAAAATACATCTTCATCACTAACCATTACAAGTTAGCTTGTACAAAATCAGTTCAAAATATACCAGCAAATAGATTGCAAACCAAAATAAACATCACAATTCTTCAACCATTCACTTCAAATATGTCACTAAACTCTCCATGGCCTTATTCGTTTTGCTGGAGATTTTAACCTAGGCCTTTTTGGAGAAGTTACCATTGGTTGAGGTTGTGAACTTGAAACTTGATGAGCTTGTAAACTTTGGGCAGGTTGTGAAGGAGCTTGTGAACTTTGGGTAGGTTGTGAAGGAGGTTGGGAACTTGAACCTTGGCCAGGTTGCCAACCAGCAAATAGATTGGTCTTCCTTATGACATGGGGGGCATGGGCTCCTCTTTTCACCTATTTCAAGCATACGACCCTTAAGCCTTCAAAACACACCACAATAATGCAAGTATTGATTCAAAACATCAAGGTTTAATCCAAGTACTTACATTAAACTTTGGTCTGGCCTGAGTTTGTTGTTGTTCACTCACAACACCTCTGTCTCTCACAACACCTCTTCCCCTAACACCAACTGTTGCGCTTGCAGTTGTTGTTCCACTTGCATTAGCACTAACAGTATCAACACCTCCAGTTGCAGCTCCTCTTGCCCTTGCACCTCTTCCCCTCATAGCTCCTCTTCCCCTCCTGTTGACTCTTGCTCTAGCACCTCTAGGTTGCCCCTTTATTGCCAATAACAAAAAATGACATGTGAACATAGCAAAAACACTCCAATTCACATGTTAACATAGCCATTTCCAGCAAATGAAATGTGGAAACAAAAAAATTAAAAACAAATCTAACCTGTCCATTTTGGGAACAAGTTGCAAAATTGTGACCTTCTTGTCCACAGTTGCGGCATGTCATTACAATGCCATACCTCTTAAGTTTTGTTGCCCCTCTTGGTATTTCATCAGGTTCTTTATTTCTCCTAAGTTTGGGCCTTCCTGGTTGGATGTGATAAAGAGGTGGCTTGATAGGTACATGCCCTGTTTTTCTCCAATATGATTGACTAGGCATTGGAGATATATAGCCCTCATAAGCCCTATCATATGCCGGCCTTTTGTAAAGTGCATGCACAAAATCCAGAGGTCTGTGCTCACTCTTTGCTACTGCAGCCAAGGCATGTGGACATGGGATTCCACTTAAGTCCCATTTTCTGCAGGTGCATGTATGCCTTTCTAAATCCACAACAAACATAGCTCCCAACATACTATTAACTTGATACTTCCCCCCACCAGCATACGAAGCTATGCAGTGGCCACTTTCAATTGAATTCTTTTCCACAATAGCAAATATTCTTGGACCAACCTCATGGGGCCACACTGTCTCTCTAAGTCTAGCCATTCTAAGCATCAAGTAGGTTCTAATTCTCTCCAAAAGAGTAACAATGGGCTTATCCCTTGCTTCTAGGATTGCAGCATTAAAACACTCACACAAGTTGTTTAGAAGTATATCACACTTTGGGACTGTACTAAAGTGTGATCTACTCCAATAAGCAGCTGGTCTCTCCTCAAGCCACTTATAAGCTGCCTCAGATTGACCCAACATCTGCTCCATTTCAGCTTCAAATAGAGGTATTGTTGTTGCCCTAGCTGCTGCCCACAACCTCTGCTTCAAAGCATTACCAGTATGGCCTGCAAGCTTGAAATTATTGTGCAAGTGCCTCACACAATGCCTGTGCTCAGCAGTGGGCATCAAAGCATGAAGGGCATTCCCTAAACCCTTTTGCTTATCAGTAATGAAAACCCAGCCATGGCCATTTTGAATACCTACATCTTGAAAGAATATGTGAAAAAACCAACTCCAAGTCTCTGTGTTTTCAACTTCAACAACAGCAAAAGCAATTGGATACATCCCATTATTTCCATCAACCCCAACTGCACTTAGAATCTGCCCTGGGTGACAACCCTTAACATGGCACCCATCAAAACCCACCACTGGTCTACATCCTTCCACAAATCCCTTTTTAAGTGCTCCAAAACATATATAAATCCTCTTAAAAGTAGGATTATCACCCTGCAATTCAGTTTTCACAATGACAGTACTTCCGGGGTTATTGCTCTTTAACTCCTCACAATATAATCCCACAACTTTCCATATTGTTCTTCAATACTACCTTGAATTCTAGCTTTTGCAAAACTCTCGGCTTTATAAACTTCAGCCTCAGTTACATCTATGGCATAATGTTTCCTTATTATCTTCATGAAATCTGTCACTTTCATCTTGGGATTATCTCTTAACTCCTCATCAAACCTCTTAGACAGCCATGATGAAGTGGCATACTTGGTTCTTTGCCTCCTTCCACATGTATGCCTTGGAATATATGTCTTAATCCTTGTAGTTGGACCTTTCCCCACATGAGAAGCATATAGCATCCATGGACATGGAACCTTTTGTTTATTATCTCCTTCACATTTTAGCCTCACCCTATATGAATCATTCACTACTACAAAAATTGAAATAGACGACGGGGAAACGCCGTCGTCTTTTTCTTTTTCAAACCGTCGTTAAATCGACAGTCGTCTTTTTGAAAGTCAAACTACGACGGTAATTCACCGTCGTCTATTATATGTAAAAACGACGGTTTTTAAAAGAACCGTCGTCTATTACATGTAAAGACGACACTTTTTCTGAAAAAACCGTCGTTATTGAATGTAAAGACTACACTTTTTTTTATAGAACCATCGTCTATTAAATATAAAGACGACACTTTTTCTGAAAAAACCGTCGTCTATTTAATGTAAAGACGACACTTTTTCTGAAAAAAACCGTCGTCTATTTAAATGTAAAGATGACACTTTTTCTTAAAAAACCGTCGTTTATTATATCCAAAGAGGTCTATTAAATCTAAAAAAGACGGTTTTGTTCCAAAAAATCGCCGTTTATTATCTGTAAAAATGATGTACTAATTTCATTTTAGATATCCTAAAAAATTATTTCTTTCATAAAACTTGAAGATTCAATTGTAATTACATTGTTTACCAATCTTGATTCCTACTATATCCATACAAAATACCATATTTATAACATTATAACCTATAATTACAAAATACCATATCCAAAGCATTAACCTATGGTTGTTGTATCTTCCACAATTTGTACTTGTTCTCCACATTCAGCTGTCATCTTGGAGTAGTGTTCTAAGTCATCTTGGTCAAATGGATCTTATATTCTTCTAAGTTGTCATCTTGGCCTTTGAGCTACACTTGATATAAGCTGCAGCACCTATTTGCCATGTCATCTTACCTGAGCAATCAAAAACCACAATAAGATTACATTATCTTGCTGTCAACTAACAAAAAATATGCATAAGCTTATGCAAGAAAAGTTCATTTGTAACACAATACAGAAGAACATTTTGACTAACTGAGAGTTTCTTTTGTGACGTGGATGGCGAGCTCACCAAGAAGGCGCGATGGAGATCTGTCATCGAACCTCAAGCGACATCGAAGACCAAATCTGATGTTCTAGGATTTTCCCATCTCGCAAGGTCTCTAGAACTGTTTTCAAGATCATCTTAACTAACAAAAAATATGCATCATCTATACAAGCATAAGCTTATGCAGGAAAAGTTCATTTGTAACACAATACAAAAGAACATTTTGACTAACTTAGAGTTGCTT